CATGATATGTTAACCAATCATATTCAATCTGATGATCAGAGGCAGCGACCAATAAAAACGAACTTCCATTATGCTGTCTGAAAGCAAAATGTTATATTAGCCGATATGTGTGACAAATCATGTGATTATCAGTGAAACGTTTCAACATTAGCCAATTATAAAAAACAAAAACATGTAGTTTCTTGCTCTAAACTCCGTCACATTTTTATTCCCAAGCTTGTTTATTCTATATTTCTTATTCAAATGGCCCGTAAGTGAAGACAAATTTCTTAGTTTTGAGTTTGAGTTATATTTAATACCGATATAATAATTCAACAACCTTTTTAGGCGGAAATCAAAGAGAAAAGGCTCGTGAAAAAAATCAAAAGAAACAACAGAAAAATCCCAAGAAAAAAGGATGACGGTCTCACTTTCAAGAAACGTGCAGAAAGGTGTGTATAAAGTTACTAATTACTTTATACTCTCTGTTTACAATTAGAAGGTTTGCTTATGGACGTATGTGAGCTGCGATTTATTGCTCGATTCGTTCATTTGCAATTTTTGAACCTTCATTCCACGAAAGCAAAAAAAAAAGGTGGATAAGAAATAACATAAGTTAGAGGCATAAAATAAAAAGCTTAGATATTAATTTTTAATGGAAAAATGAACGTTTACCGAGGCAATAAGAGAAAAGCTTTCGTATGTTAAGAAATACATCTAATAATTATATCGATTTTGATATTGAAGTACATTGATTCATTAAATTTTCCTTTTAATTTGTTTATGGTGATTGAATCATCCAATAGTGACGCTGAAATCATGAGACAAAAACAATTAGTAAGTAGTATTTATTTAATTCAAAGATTTCGTTTACGGTAAACATGCATATTGAAAGTGATATCTTTTCATTGTTTTGAAAATAACAGAAAGCTTTAGAGAAAAAAGAAACATCCTCCTAAATAGAGTTTAGAACCGGGTTATAGTAAATTGGGTCACCCGTGTCAAAACGTTCAACCGGGTCAAGAATTTACAACTCGGGTCAAAACGGTTGAACTCAAAATCTGATACTATTACACAGAAAACATAACAAAATTTAATGCATTATTATTGTATTGTGAATAAATACACTTTTTTTCTTATTAATTTATAAATGTTCTCTGGATTTTTAAAAAAAGTTAAAAACTTTTGGAGGTTACTATACGTACTATCTATTGCGAAAATTTTTCCCTTGTATAATAAACCTTCATTATTTTCTTTGCTTTGCTAATATGTAATACACTGTGTTCGACACGTTCGATAGTACCCTGGGAATTCGTAGCGCTGGGGTTCGGGTCAATAAACGCTAACGCTAAAAAGATAGCATGACTAAGGTTGGAGGCACGGTGTCCCAGGGCATGCCCACTTGAGCCATATGGCCAGGGACGGTGAATAATATCGATTTGTATCGATCATATATAAACCGATATTTTTAGGCCAAATCATAGGAATCGATATTTCTTGTATAATTCGGGCCGGGCAATATAAATTTGGTCAACTTGAACTAGTGTTCCGCACGGTCCGATTTGATCCGGGTTTTTATACAAACCCGGACTCGAATCGGAAAATCGATTCGAGTATTCCTGGGGCACCTTGTGAAAAATTAACCGAATGATTATTCTGCCGATTCGATAAATGATTGATTTCGGCATGATCAATGTAATGT